CCCTGTGGGAGCAGAGCCTGCACTCAAGCTTAACCTGCAGTACAGTTATTGCTGCTTTTGGCATGGGTAATGTCCATGGGAAATGGCAAAGTGTGTTCCAGCTCTCTTCATGTCTGAGCCTGCTGCTAATGCCCAGGAAGGGAACAGGAGGGAACAGAGACAGCAGAATGGAAAGGATAAAAATCCCCAAGGGACCTGAGCCAGGTTTATCACTGCAAAATCTCTCACTGAGTATGCCAGCGAGCTTTGACATGTGCCAACACTGGCTTATTCAAACAGGCTGAATCCACTTTATTGGGAGTATGAACAAAAAACCCACCTCCCTCCCCCTTGGAAAACTCCAGGCAGTAGGATGCAGAGTGCTGCTGCAGCAGGGCTAGAGACAATCAGAGGGGACCACTTTAAATGCTCTCTTACTTCCTTAATCAGAGCAGCACTTGACTTTCTCTAGACGAAAAGACTTTAAGTGATGTCTACAACTTGTTCAAGCACTAACATCCTGTACCCAAGCAGAGCACTTCTCAAGAATATGTTACCAAGACACACAGAACCCAAGAGAGACAAGACACACATCCGTCCCCACCGCAGGAGGTAGGAAATCAGGCAGGGCAGATGACGGCACAGCCTACATTAAAAAAGACAGAGATGGGTGGCTACAGAAAGCATTAAGGCTTTTCAAGAAAAGGATAAAATTTGCAGTTTTCTTTCAAGAAGTGAGAACTCCAAAATGAGGAGATGGATATAGTGGGAAAGCGACAACTTGTGGCTACACAGTTCTGGGTGAAAAAAAAAGGATTCTGAGCTATGGGTGGCAAAGAAATCAAACAAACCACCAAAAAAAATCAGAAGAAGTAGGGAAATTGGATAACCAACCAACCAACCAAATTAAAAAAAGTACCCGAGCTGTCAGGGAATACAAAATAACAGCTCTCTTGAGGCCTAGGCTTTTTGAAATGAGGTTCCAATTGTGCACATCTTCTACATGCTGCCTGCTAAAAATAGAGAGACAACCACAAATGCATAGTTTGTGGCTCACTCGCCACACTGGGCTGTAGTGCTGACAGCACAGCTACACCTAGAATGGGGAAATGCAGATGGACCATCAAAGGTGGGTCATTACATGCTGCTGCCTGTCCTACCTTTATTACACTCTCTCTCTATTCCTCAAAGATGAATGTATTTTTAAACAGATGGAATTTAAATGTTCCATTCTAAGCTTGGGCCAGATAAAGCAAAAAGCATGTATTTCTGGAGGAGCAATATATAGTAATGATAAACACTGTGTTTCATGCCTTTTCTCAGCACTCTCTTACTTGGTTCTGGTGGACAGAGTAGCAGCAGCAATGGTTTTCTTTGTAGCATATAGATTTTAGAACTCCAGGAGGGAACTGCTGATTATCGGTATTTGCAAGGGTTGTAATTTCAAGGTATGATTTTTTTCATTAATATTTTGTAACTTATTGCACTAGTTCCACATTGCTTTCGCATCACCACCAAGAGTGACAACTTTAATTAGAATTTTAAATATATATAAGACAGAGGGAGGCATTTGGGAGCCAAGTACATTGTATTTTTTCATTATCAGCCTCCAGGCAATCACTTGGATTCAAACTATGCCAGCAAATGGAACAATACTGTACACACACCTCCGTTTTATCCTCAGTGAACTGGACTTGTTCAGGTAATTACTCAGGGAGCACTGATAGGGTGAAGCCCCTGTGGAGAGTGAAATGATCTCCTGAGTGAAGCTGGTATTTCCTCTGACTGCAAAACATGACTATTCAACAGGTCATACGCACTGGAGTTCATACAAGTGAAGGCTGGCCTGAGGCTGTGAAAGCCAACAGAACCTTCCTGGGATCCCAAGCAAAAATCTCAAAAAGTAAGTAACAAAACTGAGAGCTGCCACAAGTGTCACCCCAGAACCATGTACAGTTCTCACACTTCCTCCCCCAGGTAGCTGGCAGCTGTGGGAACATTAAAAGGGTCCTATTTCAGGGTCTTAGCTGAGTGTCTCTGGAAAATGAGAGGAAGAGAATAAAAAGAGGCAAAACTCACAAAGAGGGGAACATACCAATGAAAGCATTGGGAAATAACTGCTCTTGCTGGCACAGGGTCACAGCACAAAGCTTTAGCTGTTGGACTGGCATCAAAAACCCTTGGCTCAGAAATGACAATGTTTGTGCTTCTTGATTCCACAAGAAAAGAACCCAAAGACATTATTTTCCAGGTGTACCTTTTGGAATTGTATTTCCATGTAACTTTCAAACACACTGAAACAAACTAAATGTATTTTGGAGAAAAATCAACACATTTCTCAAATATTTTATTTGTCCATATTGTTCAACGTTAAAGGTGATCATTAGTGAAAAAAGCACCATGTTACTCTACAGAGCCAACATGGCTCACTCTTCTTCTGTTTATACTTATTTTACACACTTTTTCCTCAGCTTCTGAAAGGGAAATACATGCATCTACTCAGAGCTTCTGTCACAGCTGAGAATTGAACCTCATAATCACAAGAAGAGGATAAAGTAGGTAGATGCAGAGGTAGCCTCTCTGGAGTCCTTTGTCCAACTGAACTTGCTGGATGGGTGATGAGTGTGTTTTCTTTTTTAAAGTAACCATTTACATGCAGTAGCAGCAGATTGACTCAGTTCAAAGTTTCCCCACGGTTAAGCAGGGAGTCTTGGTTGTGTGTGGGGTAGGTTTTAAAAAATAAACTTATTAAAAATTGACACTGGCACCTTGAAGTATTCTTAACAGCTGCTACGAGAACAATGAGGATAGATCACACAAGTATCACCTGAATATTAATGCCCAAGCATCTTCTTGTAGAAAGTAAAGCACAAAGCTTAAATGCCTATAAGCAGCTACAAGAGACAAGTTGCAGTTACTAAAAAATTCAAGGGGATGCCACAGCAGGACTGTCAGGGCACACATTTGGAGAGACACTGAAGAACCTGTGATTACATTACAGGTAATGGACTGAGATGTCATTCATCTCTCCAAACTGTAAACCAAACTCCTTTAATCCTCTTTTCCTGAGGAGAGCCTGAATTGCTGAAGGCTGAACAGATTTTCCCTTACAGCTGTAGAATTATTACAATTCTTGTATTTTGCAACAACATTGTTAGGTGTTGAAGAAAGAAGTATCAGTTTTGCTTTGTGTGTGGGTAAGTGCTATGATTTCAAGGATAACTTTTGTGAATTGTTGCCAGTATCTACAAACAACACAAGGACTGTGATAGTTTGAAAGCATTCTTTGCAATAGTTTAAGTGCAGTGAGAAAAGTGTGCATTTGTCTCATTAAGACACTGACTCCAGCTCTACATTTTTTCAAAGCAAGCATTTATTCCTTCAAATTATTTTTCATATTGGACAAAAGAATTCAGTACAGGTTTGGGCATTTTTCCAGAGAAAAAATGTTGACAGTTGCAATGAAGTATTATCTAAAGTGACATTTCATTCTTACATGTCCTAAAATACAACCATTTGTCTAAACCCAATATCAATCAATTAACAAAAGAGAATGGACACAAAATGCTTTGGTAACTTGAGGTATCATGTTCTCTCACTCACTGCATACAAGTCATTCTCTGAAATACACAAACTTCTATTGCAAGAGACTTTTTTCCCCTTTCTCTGCTGCATCCTTCCTTGCATCGAACTACTGACAGAGATGCAACTCCCAGCATAAAATATTCAAACATACTCAGAACATGTTTGCAGCATGCAGCCAAGAATCTGCAGTAGCTGCCTGAAAAGCAGTTTACTAAGAACACAAATGTGTCCTCTACATCTGCTACATGCAGTTGGCTACATCTCTAAAGGTTATTCTGCTACTCCAGAAAAATCTGAGATATGGTCTGTGCAAGCCTGTGGAGTAGCATGGTTGGTCAAGGTGATGCTGTCAGTACTCTTCAAGGCAGAGGGCTAGGAAGTGTTGGGAATTTTAGCTTGCAATTGCAAACAGTAAGCTTCCCTCAGCTTTTTAGTTTGAGAAATGTTTTAATCACAAGCCCAAATGAACCTACTTAGACACCTGCTGCCTCTCCAATTCCTACCCAGCACAGGACACGATGTTCACTCTTGCCTAACCCAACTACTGCTCACTCTTGCATGATCAGCCCTGCTGATCTGAACTCTGCACTTCACTTACCCACCCCACTGTCCTGGGAAGTTGTAGGCATCTTACAATAGCACAAATACAGGGATGTAAAGGGTTTGCTGCAAAAAGGGTAATGGCTGTCCCACAGAAAGATATCAGGATGGTTTTGCACCCTCTGAGAGTCCAAACCCAGTGAAGTGGAGAGCATTCCCTCAGTCAGTATGTGATTCACCTTGGATTCCTACTGGAAGCCTGTGATAATTAGCCATAAACCATCTCCACCTTACACATGGCACAGAGTCTGTAGCTACTAGCACCACTGAGGTTAGTTTTGACACATATTAGGGTTACAAAGTTTGCTAGTCTTGATGCAAACTTTGATCTTGACATAAGCCACATATTTTTCACTTTTGTTTAAGAAAGCAGCAAATTACAAGCAGTCATTTTCACACTCACTTTGCTAGAAATCTCAGGAAGTATCAGAAAATATTCTGCTGTAAAAAAAGATTGTTTGCTGTCATGGAACAAAGAGGAAGAAAACAATTCTCTTCTGATTTCATGTATGAATCACTTCAGTTTTATTAGCAAACATAAGAAATTAATATAAAAAACTAAACATGCAACATTTTCTTTGCCATAAATCGCTATATACTTTTCAGTGACTGTATGTGCTCTGATTACTCACTTTGACTCTTGAGATACACTTTCTGTTCAGCCAAAACCCAGATATTAAACCACTTTTTCACTACAGAACAATACAGTATAAATAATAAATAGAAAAGTTAGATAATAAATTCATTAGTGCAAAAAAACCCCAAAACTAAGTTTCCTTTCCAAAATTATTTTTGTGATCAGTACAGTAGACTTGGCAGGAGAATCCAGCTTGGATTTACATATATCTGTTTCGAATGTATTCTCTGTACATGACAAAGTCATCTTTTCCCAGGGGCTGCATGTTTCCTCTTCCAGCCCGAATGTGAGCATGAAAAATCTCTATTGATTTCCTATCAGCACTTGGTGGCTGGACTTCGTAAATATTGTCTTGGGAGAAGGAGGAGATTGGGATTCTGGAAAAAAAAGAAACACGCAGAATATTTGAACTATAGGTTAAAATTTTCCACAGAGAGAGAGAAGAGTATTTCTTTTCCTTGAAACATACATGAGAGTCAATGAAAGGGCAACTTCCCACTAGATAATTCATTTACCTAGATTTTTATCGCTGCAGCAGACCCAGTAAGACCCAGCTCTCCAAGTAGGGCAATTAGGCAGGTTGTCACTAATCACATTATGGAATACTTTCTCACTTCCTCCACCCTGCCCTCATTTCTTCATCCTGTCTCAGATCTGCTATGGTCACTAAGCACCACAGCTCAAACAGCTCCATGCCATGCATTATAGCAGGTAATAGAAAGACTTTATTGAGCTATCCATTTGGTAGCAATTAGAACAAGCAAGTGATTATACTCAAACACCATAGAGAAAGGATTTATCAGGTAAGAAATTTCCATCCACTTATCATCAGACAATTTATTATCAGCAACACCGCTCTAATATTTCATGACAATATTTTTAAAATCATCTCCATACAATAAATACCATATTTGAATCCTAATATATAAACCTCTCATGAGAAACACACGAAGTTTGAAAGTTTAGAAGAACTTGAATTCGTCAGACCTTTTCTAAGCACTGTTGTCAGACTTACAAGGCAGAAGCTTGTCCTTCAACTGTTAGCTCTTGAAAACTGCACAGCCAGCAGGTCAAGGGAAGTGGCTGTTTCCCTCTGTTCAGGGTTTGAGAGACCAAATGGAACACTGGGCCCACTTTGGGGCTCTTCAAGACAGACAATGAAATATTTGGATGAATCCAGCAAAGGTCACCAAGATGACTAAAGAGCTGGAGCACATGAAGAGAAACTACAGGTGCTGGGTTTGTCCAGCTGGGAGAACAGAACCTAAACAGGACCTTACTGCTATCTGTAACTACCCAAGGGAAGGTGTCTGTGAAGCCAGACTCTTCTTGGAGCATGTGATGGAAAGACACATTTCAAAAAGGGAATGCAAATTGCAAGATGGGATATTCTGATTAGATACAAGGGAACTTTTTTCACCACTGTGAGGGCTGTCACTGACTGTTGTTGCTCAGAAAGGCTC